CTCTATGGCTGTTGCTCATATTTAGTCATTAAATAACTTAATAAAGAAAGTAACAAAAAAATTTAACAAAATAATAACTCTAAAAAAAATATTCAACCAAAAAAATAATAATAAGAAAAACACATACAATCAATAAAATAAAAATCTTAGGTTATTCAATCATCGATTTTTTTTATATTAAAAAACTTCAAATAAAATTTTTGTTCTAAATTTTGTAGAAATCAATTTATTATAGAATTCTTATAGAAGCATTCCAATATATTCAAGATATATGCAAACTCAGTTTGTGAAAACAAAAAATATATATATAGAAAGAGATTATTTTTCTATTATACTCTAATTAGAGGGGAAAAAATGAAAAAAAAAAATGGAAAGAATGAGTTGGAATTTTAGAATAGTAGGAAAAGAATTGTGTTTGAATTGAAATTTTAGAATAGTTACATTAAATTTTTATATGAGTCCGTTTTGGTCGGAACACTATATTACTCAATTATATCATTTTTCATAATTTATATGTGTAGCGTGTATTATATCAGCGGTACCGAGCTCCTATTTCTCAAAGAGAGGTCAGGATTCAAGCCTCAGTGGAGGCATGTGTGTGTGACTACCAACTAAAAAAAAATATTATATCAATTTATTAATATTATTTTCCCTGAATTTTTATTTAATTAATGTAAATTGCATTATAATGTATCTAGAAATACATATAAATTAATTTTATATTAATGAGTTCCCCCACCCAATTTTTTTTTATTATTTTTAATTATACTATCTGAAAATTTATTATTTTGTAAATAAGCGATTTTTTCAAATTTGTTTTATACTTCCTAGAAATTGTCATTTTTGTACCAAACTGATGAAAATTTTCCATTGACCTCTCCAAATTTTTTCAAAAGACTTATTTGTTGGCCTTAATTATAATTAGTTTGGAAATAAATACAACTTCTATTTTTTCAAATTTCATAAATTTTTAATTAAACCTTTTTAGTCTAATTCAAATCTTCTAAAACAAAAGTGTAATAAAGATTTACATTTGTAGTCCTTATAATCATTGCTACTATTTCGGTAGTACTTATTATCATTACTACATTTACATTTGTACATATATACACATTTATAATATCAATTATATGATGTTTAATAAAGATATATGAACTTTTTTTTTTTGAAACAATTTTGTTAGATGGTGTTAACAAGGAAAAATATCTAAATAAACCTTTTTTGGAGACAATTTTGTTAGAGGTGTTAACAAGAAAAAATATCTAAAATTATGTGCTCATGATCTCCATCTACGGGTTTTTGTAGAATCCAAAAAAAGGAAAAACTAAAGTGTAATTATACTAAGATAGCCAAAATGCCAATAGCAACAACGATCTCAGATATGAATTATTTTTTGTTGTTAGTTGTTAAATGACAAAATTTTTAGTTATTTATCTCTCTATTTTGTTGTTGATAATCATGTTTTATTAAAGCTTACAAAATTGTTAATCTTTCGCCAAGATAATAATAATATATCTTTCTCAAAGTAGAATCAAAGTACTCAAAATTAAAAAAAAATTAAAAAATTAAAAAATTAAAAAATTTGAATCTATTGATGAAGAAAATTTAATTTTTAATTTTTGTTTACCATTTCTCTATCAGTTTTGTTTTATTTATTATATTTTTAATTCTATTTTTCTTAATATATATACTAAAATTAATATTGTAGAAAAAAATATCCTATAATTAATTCCTAAATATTTCAAGTTTTAATTACATAGTTTAATTAGCCCCCAACTCAAAATTCATGACTTTGCTCCTGTTGCGACACCTTAGGGGGTTTACAAATTTAGGTTTTGAACCTTGTTCCATGCATTTTTTTTATGTTGGGTAATTCAACATCGGTTGGTGAAGAAGAAAATTTACAATTTATATGAGGTAAGGGTCAATTCATCTAATAGGTTAATCTTTAGTGTCCAACCCAACAACTGATGTCAAAACCAAGTTTCAAATAGCCTCACTCATGTGGACTCGAGATCCCCTAACCTCAACTTGTTAAATTACGGAACTTAAAATTGACATATGAAATAATCACAATAATCAAAGTGATTTTAACTTATTTTATAATTCTTGTGCAGTTAGGTAGATTTTTGGTTAATGGATTATATAAATAAAATTTATTCAATTCAAAGGTTATAAATTTTACTTCCGGACTAAGATTTTTAAGTGTATTAAATTTATACAAGATTTTGATATAAGTAAGAATGTAAGATTTTGTCACCTTTACATTTTGAGATAAATTTTATAGTTGTTCCTATTACTCTTATGGATGATTCGAGCTAGAAAGGCTGCATAGAATTTTGAATATCTAGAATAATTTTGAGGAATGTAATAAATAAAACTTGGCGGGTAAAATGTATTTCAAACGACCATGGAAAGGACGATGACTATATAAAGCGTAGAGTCTCATCTATAGGGAGTCTGAAGAGCGAGCGAGAGTAGATCTAAAACTATGAGTAAATCAATATTGAAGAGAAATTCTAGTAGCAGGATTGAGACATTTTGTTCACAAAAGAAGGAAAATAAAATACATTTTGAATGGGTTGTTCTTAATGTTGATTAGACACATTTTTAATGGATTGTACTCAATGATTAATCACAAAACTCTCTGTGGTGTCGGTGAGAAATTGAGAATTCGAAAATTATACAAATTTATTTTTTTAAAATTATGAAATATTTAACTTTTTTTTTCGCTTAATATGAATAATTTTTCGTATAAGTTTTTCGTTTCAAATTATGTTTGTTGTGAATTCTGAAGTCACAGATACATGTAACTCATAACATCTAGTCATCATACTATTAGATACTTTATTATGCTTGTCAATTGCACTATTTACATCAGTCAAAATTGACAGAACATTCTCAAACAAGTAAAAAGAACCCATCTCAAATTGACGTCTTTTAATTCTAAAAAATATATACCTTAAACAACAAATCGTGTATAACTCACATTGAATTGAAATAGAATGAGATTAAATAATTGAATAAAGATTATGAATAGTAATATTGGAGTCCAAGAGTTTGACATAATTTTCTGACGAAATATTATTTTTCTTTCTCACTTCTTTTGTAAAAATATTCAACATATTAATTCAATTCAATTTGGAGTTTGGACGTACAAAATATACCTAGTTTGCGAAGGTTAGTGTTATTTTCTAATCCAAAAGAGAACTCTATAAGTATAAACATATGCGAGTCGATCATCAACCTATATGTATAAGTATAAACATATTGTTGACTATTAGGTTCATATTTGTCAGAATTGTAAGCTTTAATCTTGCAATATAGACTGTGTAACGTTGAGATTTTAAGTCTTCTGACTTTTTGAGAGTCTGCTTTTTTTAGGCAACTCCTTATTAAATTATTGAAGTTTTTTATTTAGACCCATCACTCAATTCTCAGGTCCCCTCCCATCCAAACACCCAAATTGTTCAGCAAGAGTCCAAAGTTGGAGGGAACTATTTCCAAAACTGAGAGTGATGTATTTCCTCTTACAACAACAATTCCAAACCATCGCAACAAATAAATACTTTTTTAACATTAATTAATATTTTTATTTATGAATTTAATAATCACGTTATGGAATGCGAGATAATGCAACTAAAAGGATAAAAATGAAATTCTTTGAGGGTTTGTGTGACAACGAGAAAAGTTTGGACCTTATTTGCATTTTCAAGTTGAGAGTGTGGAAGATTGTCCCACTAGTTCCTACTTAGTCCTTCCTATGTGGCATCACCACCACTCGTACATCTTGAAGCAAAGAACCATATTTACCCACTTAAACACTAATGAGTAGGTGATCCGCAAACCTAATTCAATCACAAATACATATTTCAGTCTGTGATTGAATTACAGATTATATATGTATTTGTAATTGGACACGAACTCACCAATAAATATAAATAATTTAATAATAAAAAATTGAGGGGCATGATTGCAAAACAAGTATCTTACTTATTAATGTTAGAAAAACTATTCGTTTGTCGTTACCTCGCAGTTACCTAGCACTTGAAGGTGTATTTCAAAAAAAATAAATAGAAATTTATGGGTGTGTTCGGTGACATAAAATTCGAGAGACTCTCTAATACTTTTTGTTTTTCCGTTTGTGTTGCAACATTTACTAATTATATAAGATTGTTCAATTGCTTTCTGGAGCCTAAAATTAAAAGCAATCTTTTCAAAGCAAGAAGTGTTAGAAGTTAGACTATTAGATGCAGAGTGCCAAAATCTGACACTCCAAAGTCCATAAAAAATACTAATTCATTAAGTTATCGAAGCATATGCATATATTAAAGCGTTAGAATCACCTCAAGTTAGTATTAATAAAAATACAAAGAATGAAAAAAGAAAAAAACTAAAGGCAAAAACATTTTTTTATGGGTCCTTATGGAAGAAGCTATTACTAATATGATCGTGACTTTGTTGTTAAATTTTATATTTTTCTGATTTATGAGGTTTTATTTTTTTTTAAGAGTAACAAGGTTTTATTTATTAATGACAGACTAGTAGAACTAGAAGATATAGAATGAAGCAAGAAATTAAAGAAAAAAAAATGTATTTACCATTGGCTGTTTTCAATTTTAGCGTATGTTGTCTATGCACACCAAGGAACAATTCAACGGTGTTGATTGACTATAATTTATTTCAATTTGTAATTTTATTTATTAATATAAAATGAACTGCTTAATCCAATTATATTGATTATAATTTATTTCAATTTGTAATTTCATTTATTAATATAAAAATAGCTACAATATAATGTTCTATATCATTCTATTGCGTATAGCATGGTGCAAAAGACTAAAAAAGAAAAAAAGAGAAAAAAAAAAGCACACGTAACGAAAATATTTCTTATTCCATTTTGCTACAAATGCTCTTATTTTTTAGTTAGGATAAATTCTGATTGGTCGAGTAAAATAATCCATTAACCACTTATGTCACAATCAGGATTCAGAATCCACTTGGATCTCCCAAAGTAATATAAAAATTGATAACTAAAATAAATTATAAAATAATTAGAATTCTCTACATATTATTCATATTAAAATCAATTTAAATATAGCCGCCAGAATAAATTTTTTTTTTTTTGTTCCAGCCAAAACAAAAAAAGATACAACGTATGAGTATTCGTCATCGAGGGCCCAAAGAGACCGAAATATCCACAGGAACTTTAACCTTCTTAGACCAAACCTCCGACTCTAGATAGAGCTTTGATATCTTCCCCACCACGCGTCGCATGGTTGGCCTCTTATCTGGATCCACGTGTACACAATCCAGCGCGACACGTGTTAATTTCACCGCCACCTCCACCGGGAACGAGTCCTTCAGCCTCTTGTCCACCCACCTCCTCAGTCTCCCCTCCACCGCCTCTCCTCCTCCGCCGCCGCCGCCGTCGTCTTCGACCACATCTCTTGCCGTATCAATCACTGATCTTTTTTTATAATCGCCACTCCTCCTGTCAAACCTGAACTTCACCGGCTCTTCACCGGACAATAGCTCCAATATTACAACTCCGAACGCGAACACGTCGGACTTCTGCGTCGCGATTCCGGTGGACTGGAACTCCGGCGACATATAGCCTGTGACGCCTTCGAATTGCAACCCTCGACTGTCCGATCTCTTCAACTTCGACGGCGTTCTCGGCGCGTCTTCTTCCGTGATCTCATCGGAGCCAGTTCTTTCAACAATCTTAACCTCTCTCTGTTCAATTGCGGTCTCCCCGCAGAGCTCCGCCGCGCCGAAGTGACAGATCTTGGCATTGAACAACGGTTCCGTCACGATTATACTACTGCTTTTGACGTGTTTGTGCACGAAGCTCATGCTCAATCCCGTGTTATTGTGTATGTAATCCAAGCCTTGCGCGAGGTCAGCCGCGATCTGCATTCGCGACATCCAACCCGAAAGCACCGTGAAATTTGGGTTTCTAGGGTTTCGTAGACAGTCCGAGAGGTTCGCGCCGTTCACGAAGTCGTAAACAAGGTAAATGTGGTCGCCGGAGATCGAAGCGCCTAGGAGCTTAATTATACTCTTAGAATGGCTCCAACAAATCACGGACAGCCGCTGTTTCAACTCCGACGTCTCGATCGAACGGCGAATCTTGCGCTGGAAAACGACGACGTCCTTGTCTCGGAGAGTGCACCTCCAAGAAGGGGACGACGAGGAGGAGTGCCGTTTGGCTAGGAAGTTGTTGGTGGCGGAGCGAATTTCAGCGAAATCGTAAATGTAAGGGTTTTCCGGCAACGAATCACGGAGGCTGGATAAGGATGTTCTGCTTGAAAATGAAGTTGTTGCTCTTGACGTGTCTAGTTTGTAGCTCGATCCGGTGCTGCTGTAATCAACGTTGCTGGAGGAAGGATCGGAGATCGGAGCAGATGGTCTTGGAGACTGAGGCTTGCTGGAGGGTGTGTTGATGGAGGTTCTTGTGGTACCTGAATTTCGAGAGCGGGTCAATTTCGGCTCAGTTGCATTAACTGCCATTTTAGTTTTACACATAAGCTTGAAGAAGATGGATTAGAATCAACTCAATTGATTCGGAGATCGAAAAATTAGAAGATTTGTGGAAGAAAGTGTTTGGGTGTCGAGAAATTGGGGCAAATGAAATGAAATGGAGAGATGATTGAGTCATAGCCGCGGGTGTGAACGAGTGAAGGACGAAAAGTATAAAGCTAATGTAGGTGATTCAACAAATCTGTTTGTGCCTTGGGAGGTAAAGAAAATGAAACAGGGATTGACGTAGAAGACGACTGTTTCTGAGAAAGAATGTCTCAAAAAGCAATTGCAAAAAGACTGGAATTTGCTGGAATTGAATGGATCATTTAAAAATACAAAGTTTGGCAACTCTTTAGGGTTATTTTCGGCACTTCCTAGTTTAGTCTGCATCCAATTTGATTTGATCCTTTGGATGTAGACAGGAGAGTGGAATTTTAACCTAATGTCGTTAATTTTAGAATAGAAGACTCTGTTGAGCAAAGGAAAAAATATATATTTAATGGCGATACCCCATTATATGATTTAATACACAGTACACAAACGCCCGTCTACTCTTTTAAAATGCTTATGAGAGTCGTTAGGTTTTGAATGGGGGAGGGGATAAGGACAGGTCTATATTGTATGTATATATATATATATATTAAATAAACCATAGGTTATCCTATTCTAATAACCGGATATCATTTTGTATATTTTTATTTGACAATATTATTTTGATATTTTTATAATAATATTAAATTTTAATTGAGAATTTAAATCTAATTTTTTTGGGATTAAAAAAACAAAGAATTAATTTTTATTATATTTGTAATATAATTACAAAAGTATTATTCAAAATGTGGATCTTATTTGATAAATTGTTTTGGAAGACGGGAATGGGAGTAGAATCGGGGTGTCCGGCTCCAAACCACCGCCCATACCTATAAAGCTCAAATGAAAAACCTTGCACCCGTGACTCTCTAGGCATGCATATGTGGTGGGTGAGAGATGGGAGGTCAGTTTCAGTGGTGTGGTGTCATAGGTCAGTAAAAAATGCACAAACATGGGGGATGGAGACTCCAGAGTGTTGAAAGTTCTGCTACACAAGATGATTGGGTACGTTGGGTGCGGAGCAATTTTGAATTTTGTAAAGACCTTTGCTTGCTTTTGGGTCAAGAAGGGGACAAGAAAAACCAACCAATTGGCTTGGCACGTGAAAGATTCGTTCTTCAAGTACCATTGCCAAACAACTACTATTGATTTTGTTTTGGATTTTGTTTTATTTAATGGTTCATCTTCATGTAGAAGACTTGGCAGTCTAACCGTCAATTACTTTCACAAAACTTTATAGACAGGAAAGTAAAGAAAATAAAACACATGAAAAAGTTCAAAATTTTATTTAATGGTTCATCTTCATGTAGAAGACTTGGCAGTCTAACCGTCAATTACTTTCACAAAACTTTATAGACAGGAAAGTAAAGAAAATAAAACACATGAAAAAGTTCAAAATTTTATTTAATGGTTCATCTTCATGTAGAAGACTTGGCAGTCTAACCGTCAATTACTTTCACAAAACTTTATAGACAGGAAAGTAAAGAAAATAAAACACATGAAAAAGTTCAAAATTTCCACTAATAAAAACATGACATCTGACAGTTTTTTTCACATCAACAGCTAGTCTTTCATGTTACTAGTCTAATGTTGACAAGTTAATAAACAAAATTCATAACAAAACCCAATTCCACAATACTTATTAGTTAGGAGGAATATCAGTAAATCTCATTTCATACCATCAGCGACCAGAATCTCAACTCTTGTATAAAACTAAAAGAGTTAAATAAGGCCAATAAGTTGAAGAATTGATGAATATATATATATATATATATATATATATATATGAAGAAGCAATATGAAAAGATTGATATACAAAAATATGCAGGGGATGAAACTATCATCTCAATTACGTTCGACCTGATTCGCACAAGCTTTATTTAGACCGAAATACGTACGCAACTTAGACAATATTAAGTTCAATAACACCGATATTCATAATAGTCTTTTGCTCTTTATCTTAGTGTAATTGGTGTAAGATTGATTGGTTCCTGTACATGAAAATTTTTGCACCTGCATATATATTTTCACTGTCACATGAACATGGACTTTGTAAGTTTGTACTGAATTAGACATAACATTTTGGTATATCATCTCAATTCTTCTTAAGCCTTTGTTCCTTGTGATCCAACAAAATTAACCTGTACCGTTAAAAAAACAAAAACAAATTCACCCTGATATTACATTAAAAAATTTGTATTTTAATGTTCTAAAAGTTTGACCACGTTTTTGGTGGGAAAAAAATTAATAAAATTGAAAGAAAAGTTTGATTGAGTATTGATAGAATTCGAAGAATGTTAGTAGTGTTTGTGTCAGACTACTAATTAAACAAATAACATGTTGCCACCACCCTTAAGAGTATATGTAATATATATATATATATTTTGGAATTTAGTATATGTAATATTTTTGCATATGCGTATCAAGCATGTCATAAAATTGATGTTTTGATAATAAACTAGCTACTTGCTCAATAAAGAATGCCTTGTAGACTTGGTAGGTAGGTCTGGGGGTATGCATGATCATATGATCTTTATTCTTTAGTCCCTAGAATTATCTTCTCACTTCCTTGGTCAAACGAGGAGAGAAATATTGCGACCAAAATGTGTGGAATAAATCAAAGTTGCCAAGATAATTATTGGCATTGTTCAAACTTATCCTATCAGTCTATTTTAAATATTTTTTAAATTTTTTAAATGATCAAGATTACATGATTTCAGTCAATCATAACTCAACACATACACAAATGTGTTAGTTTTATTCAAATTTTTACTTGTGTGTCATGTTGTAAGTGACCGAAACTATGTAATTATTTCTCCTGCATTTTTACACGTGAGGGGAATAATTTTCATATATTAAAAAGTGTGAATGTCTGCTAAAACTGTTTAGCCTATAACTAGTTGAAAAACAGAATTGTTGACAAGAAACTAATATGTCACGTTTTTTTCCTGGGTAGAATGATATGTTTAGCACACCCAATATGTTCTCTGGCGGCTTGGGGGCATGGACGTAATAAAAAAAATGGATCTTTCTTGCTTGAATGGGTTGTCTAAAACATAGTATTAATAGGAAAAGAAAAAAAATAAGGGGGTTGTCTAAAAACATTTGAATTGCTGGACAATGCTGACTTTAGACCAATAGGATGATTTGTGGCCAAATTAATTTATTTATGTATTTGTTTATATTTGTGATGAAATAATTTTAGAATGTTGACTCTATCTTGGATATTTGGTTGCACCTTTCCTGGAGGCTTTATTTGATGAGATGGGAAAGGAATTTGGCTTGGTTTAGATTTTAATTTAGAGGGAGTAAAATAGGCCTAATTTAGCCCTAGCCTGAATCCTGTAGGACCCAGATTGGTGTATCCATTGGGCCTAGCTTTACCTGGAATGGGTCTAACTTCAGGTTAGTTTTCATACAACACTAAATTCAAAGTAATTGATTTCAACTCAACTAATACAAATGTTTGGCATCTCTGTAAGTGCTAACTCAATTAGATGTGCCCTCACACTTTTGAAAAACAAATTAACCTCATATATTGTTTATCTCAACAGCAGTCAGATTCCAAGGCCCATGTTTGGTACGGGCCTTAAAATACAATGAATTGGGGTAGCTTTAAGGCCTTGATGCTTCTTTGGGCCTTTGACCACACCACCCTTTGATATCTGTAGTGTTTTAATTCTTGCATTAGAATTGTATAATAAAATATATTATCTCTATCCCATTTTAAATATATGTGGCTCACAATTTTCATAGAGGACATTTAAAATAGGACCGAGGAAGTACAATATCCCGTGATCTTTTGACATGTGTTACACATTTGAAAGTTTTTTTATTTATCTTAGTAATCAAACAGTCCTGAACCATTTAATAATTTCTCAAAGTTAAAAGTTTCAAGATAAATGAATAGGAGAGGGGTACCACGCGTCAAAACATTAGGGTGTCTTATAATTTCTCCAGTAACAATGCAAAATACCACTAAAATAATTTTTTTTTTAATAATCAAACAAATAAAAAATAAAAGATATTAAGAGAGAGGTCACTAAGAATCTCAAATATGAACAGGCATATACAGTAACTACGATTTTATTTAACTATAAGATTACCTTTACTATGCCAGGGTAGTACACAAGCTAATAGAATATTACAACACTGTATTCAAACCCATACAGAAATACTTACTATTATCTAACACATATATATATATGATATGATATACTATTCATATAAGACATGCAAAACAACCAACTGATTAGTACTAAACATAACTTTTTAGACCTTTGCCATCACTTTCCGCCATCATCACCTCCCTTAGGACCACTTCCATAGTTATTGAAGTCCTGCCTAGGTATGGTATGGTGGTTGTTCACAGTGCTTGCAGGGTACTCAGTTTTGCCATTCTCATTCTCGGCTAGATGCCGGAGATGGTACAGGTGCAGGTCATTTTCCTCAGCCGTTAAACCTTTCCTGTTCATGGCCAAGCAAGAGTTCACTATCAACAGGGTAACAACAAGCACTAGGACCCTCATTCTCGAGCTTTCTTGCTTTTAGCTGCCACTTAAAAACAAACAAAACCAAGTTCAATATATATGACTAATGCATGAGATATATAACTATGGTAATCTTCAAAGTCTCTTGATTCAGACAGAATATGGAATTACCTCCGCAACTGTGTTGCCACAGTAGTATATATATATATATATATATATATATATGGACTTACCACATATGGTGAATAAATGGCTAGAAGGATGCTTGATGTGAAATATTTATGAGGGAAACAACCAGATGAATAAGTTGTATATTTATAGTTGCATGCCAGGTTTATGTGAATCGACTGTTTAATTGGTTAATAAAAATTCGGTGATGGAGTGTCCACTAAATTAGGCAAGATTAAGTGGAATGCACAGATTGCACCAATAAAATGGTTCTCAGAACAATTAAAATGATGGAGTTGAAGGAAATGTTTTGTCCACAAATGCACTATAAAATAGATAGATTTCAATTTATACATATATTAAGATGAAGTCAATCAAGTGGTGGAGTGGAGTTTCTGTTTTGTTGCCTTTGTGATGTCAAAGCATAATAATGCAAAATTTCTCTGAAGTTTCTATACAATTTGTCATCGTGTAATTAATTTAGGGGAGAATTAATTTTGGAAATCCTCTAGGTTTAATGATTATACTAGGTTGCTGAATCATATTTAATTTAGCACTTAGTTGAAATCAATCCTTAATCATTCCCTTCAACAAACTAACATAATGTTTTGTCTGATAAAATTTCAACATTTCAAAATGTGTTTTTGAAAGTATTACAATAATGTGGAGAGCTACAAATTAGAAGCAAAATACCATAGA